TCATGCACTTTAATTTGGACATCACAGCTGCACAAAATTGTTTTATTAATCGAATGAAGCCCTTTCTAGGACTTCTAAGGTTACTTAATGGCATCAGATCCAGAGGAAAAGTGAGAAAGGCCTTTCCCAGTTTCTGACTGGTTGCCATTTGGATGCTGAGGATGAACATTGGAAGTGAGGAGCCTATTTGATCCAAGGAAGTGCTGCAGGCAATGTAGCTACATTAAAAAGTAAGATTTTCCTACCACACAGTCTCCACAGATTGAAAAAAAAAATGTCCCTGTTTCTGAAGTTCATCCTGAACACAAGAAAGGTAATGAAGAGGTACACATAGTGCTTCACCTGAATTAATTTAAATCAGACAGTGGATATTCAAGGTCAGGACTGCGGTTTAAATTGACTGGAAAGTTAAACTCTCTAAAATATATATATTATAATAACACAAAATGTACTTTGGAAGAGAACATTTCTGCATCTGCTAGGATCATTGTTGGCATACGCAAAGTCATGTTTCTTAATATCCAGCCCCTCCGTGTGACACTCATAAGGGCTGTTTGATAAGTGGCATTTTCTGTTCTATTCTTGTTATAACCAAGAGTATATCCTTGAGGGTGAGTTGTCATTTGAATAAAGCATCTTTCTGCTGTGCCAGCATCATGGTACTTCAAGCTTGTGGAGCATCCCCTTGAATAAATCCTCTCTTCACACCAAATTATTTAGTTTGCCTTCCTGTTTGGTCTAGTAGGGGGCAACACCTCTCTGACCTTGTTTGGGCTCTGAAACCAAGGAGACCTGCTGAGTGGATCGGAAACCACTGGAGATTTCCAGGCCTTCAGGCTAGAAAGGACAGAAAATAGCCCTGATTTGTATGATGCCAAAAAACACAAACATGATTTTGACTTAAGAGAAAGTAAACTTCTTGCTTTGGGTGTCTATACACATGAGTGCTCCACTAGTTAAACAGGTGACAAAAGCATCATCAGAACTGGCAGATTGTTGGGACATTTTTTCATGCTTGGTGGATGTATAAAAAAGCTAAGAAAAATTTGGATTCAGATACATACGTTGATACAGAGGATGTTAAAGATCAGTATTCAGTTGAAGCTAGAACCTTTCCTTTTAGGACTAATGGATAACCAGCTAGAAAGAAACAATGGAAGATTATTTCAATATATGATTACTGTGGCAAGATTTCCATATGCACAGAGGTGGAAAGATTCAACACTACCCACTATGGAGGAATGGTTGGTGAAGTTGACAGATTTTGCTGAAATGGATAAATTGACTTCTTTGATTAGAGGAAATACATTTTCTACATTTATTGACGACTTATGGACTTATGGACGTTTTGCATAAAAATGAAAAAAAATGAATTTGTGATTTATGGTTTTGATGATTAGGTAGGACAGATTATAGAAATAAGAGTAATATGAGGTAGCTTTAGAGAGAGAAGTTAAAATATATTTGTACTTATAACTGCTGTGAAGAATAGCAGAGCTACTTCT